TATGTGTGATTATTGATAAGATAGGTCATAAGTGTACCCTGTGTTTTACCATTGAAAATTTTCCATTTGGTTTTCCTTTTTTAGTCATAATTTTTAGATTTTTCTTTTTTTTTTCCTGAGACTTTTCTATTGTTTTGTTTGTTTTATTGTGTGGTTAGTTGCTTGTTGAAGCATTTTTATGATGGTTCTTTGAAGTTATGTCAGATAATTATGAGCATTTCTGTCATTTTGGTGTTTGTATTTATTATCTTTTTGCCTTCTCTGTGAGATCTTGGTTCTTGTTTAAGTAATTTTTTTWATTGAAACCTGGACATTTTTAATACTATATGAAACTTCGGATTTCATTTTTAATAGCTTCCTGTAGCACCCACTCTTTGTGGAGTGGAAACTGCACCCATTGACATCCAAGAAAGGATACTTCTTGTTATTAATAGGCAAGGGTGAGAGTTCTGGGTCCCCTTTAGGCCTTCACTGATACTATCTTGTCTGAAAGGGGTAAGAGCGCCTTTTTAGCTATTCCCCATATAGCCTCCATTGACCCCATTAGGGTGGTGGCCTTTTACCAGTCGGTGATGGGGAAAGCCCAGACTTTTTACCATGTCAGCTTTATACCACCGCAAGGCAGAGGAGAATTTGCTGCTCATTATTACCTGAGTAGAAGTTCATGTTCTTCATGTGCTTTGTACCAAACACTATAAGARTTGAGAGAGAGGTCATATATCCTGGTGAGGGTGGATATTTTAGGTCCTTATTGAGTCTTCACTGGCATAGGTGGGAGTTGGATCACAGGTTTTTTGATAGTGTTTGACTAAAATAGAATGTTTAGTTTTTTAAATTTTGCTCTCCTACGCTGTTCCTTTCCTGGTCTTTTGGCTAGAAAAAGTTGAGGTTTTTGTTGGAGCTCTCTTGTCTTCCCTCATTGTTTCTGGTTTGCTGGCTTCTTCAGCCCCAAGGCTGAGTATATAAAGCAAGAATAAACTCAAGGAACTTGCCACTCTTGTTATTCAAGTCTTCACTTTTGGAATTCTATTACATTTGTTTTGTATATGATATCTGTGGAACATCATATATAAAGGAGGGAGGGAAGGATGGTGAGAGAGATATATTTATTCCATCTTGATGAAATTGAAAGTTATTTCTGTTTTGATCCCAGGGATGCCTTACCACTGAGCTATATCCCCAGCCCCTCCCCTCTACCCCTTTTAGAGCCAGTCTTGCTGAGTTGTTGAGGCTGCCTCAGACTTGCTTTCCTTCTGTTTCAGCCTCTCTAGTAGCTGGGAGAAAGTTATTCCTTTTAACTATTTTTTTTTAAATCCCACTCTTGCTAGTGCCTCTTTTGTATGCCATTTTAAAACCAAGTTTTTTCTTGCCACATTTTTTTGGTTCATTATAGTTGAATATAATTATAGTATTTGTTGTTACATATTTATATGTGCACATAATATAACACTATAATTTGGCTGATATCATTCCCCAGCACTCYCCACCTCCCACTCCTTGTTTTCTTTTCTCTTCTGATGTCCCTTTGACTTTCATGAGATCCCTGCTCCCCCTACATTTTTATTTTTTCCCTCCTCTTTGGTGAGAGAAAACATATGACCCTTGACCTTCTGAGTTTGACTTATTTCATTTAACATATTGTCTCAGGTTCCATCCCTTTTCCTTCAAATGGCATAGTATCATTTTTCTTGATGGCTGAATTAAAATTCATTGTGTATATGTGCTACATTTTCTTTATCGATTTGTCTATTGATGGATACCTAGGCTGCTCCATAGTTTGGCTATTGTGAATTGTGCTGCTATAAACATGGGTATACATGTATCACTATAGTATTGTTTTAATCAGCTTTTTTTTTTGCTGCTGTGACTAAAGGATCTAACCAAAACAATTTTAGAGGATGAAAAGTTTATTTAAGGGCTCATAGTTTCACAGATCTCATTCTCAATAGACAGTTGGCTCCATTCCTCAGGGATCCAGGTGAGACAGGAACAACATGGCAGAAGAGTATGGCAGAGAGAATCAGCTCATATGGTGATCAGAAATCAGMGAGAGAGACACTCCACTCTTCAGATACAAAATATATTACCCATAGCGACAGCCCCAATGAATGGCTTCCTCCAGCCATACTGTACCTGCCTCCAGTTACCACTCAGTTATGTTAAGGCTATAATTTAATCATTCCTCCTCCAACCTCCTTGCATTGTCTCACATGTGAGCTTTGGGGTATACCACATCTAAACCATAAATATTGAGGAGTGGTATAGCTGGGTCATATGGTGATTCCTTGCACAGTCTTTTGAGAACCTTGATAGTGATTTCCATAGTGATTGTACTAATTTACAATCTCACCAACAGTGTAAAAATGTTTCTTTCTCTGCACATTCTTTCCAGCAATAATTATTTTTTGTATTCCCAATGACTGCCATTCTGACTATTGTGAGATGAAATCTCAGTATGATTTTGGTTTGCATTTTCCTGTTGAAGTTGAACATTTTTTCATGTATTTGTTGGCCATTTGTTTGCTTTTTGGTACTGGGGATTGAACCCAGACATGYTAAACCACTGAGCCACATCCCTAGCCCTTTTTATTTTTTATTTTGAGACAGGTTCTTGCTAAATTTTGAGGGTCTTAGTTGCTGAGTTTGTCCTTGAACTTGTGATGTTCCTGCCTCAACCTGTTGAGTCCCTACCTAGGACCACAGGTGTGCGCCACCTGGCTTTGTTGGCTGTTTGTATTTCTTTTTTGAGAAGTGTCTCTTTAATTCATTTGCTCATTTATTAATTGGGTTATTTGGGTTTTGGTGCTGAGTTTTTTGAATTCTTTATATATTCTAGATATTTTTCTATCAGAAGAGTAGGTAGAAAAGATTTCCCCCATTTTGTAGGTAGAACCAAGTTCTTCAAAAGTGTTTTTTTAAGCTTATTTTCTTTAGTTCTTCTCATTCTCTCTTAAACCTATTCTAGTAGGATTTTTATCCCTATCACTTGTCTGAAAACAGTTTTTCAATGTGTCATTTATAAGTGAATAATAAAAGCAATAATACCACAATTTATGGTTACACCTAAAGTTTTACTCTGTAGGCTTGAAAGCTGTATTAAATTGACTTCTGTTTAGATTGGTCAAGAAAATTTGAATAGTCACGTAGCCATTAAAAATATTAATTCAGTGGGCTGGGATTGTGTCTCAGTGGCAGAGGACTTGTCTCATACATATGAGAAACTGGGTTCAATCCTCAGCACCACATGAAAATAAATAAATAAAATGAAGGTATTGTGTCCATCTATAATTTAAAAAAATATTAATTTTGTAATTTTTTTCTAGCACAATTAAGTAGTTTAATGCTGATTTATTAATTTAGTAGTTTTTAAAGCCTTTCTTTTCCCTCAATAAAAAGGCCCAAATGCTTAATTTGTGTTTGGACAAAAACTAATCCCAAGGTTATGTAAATTTTTTCATGAAACAGAAGAAAAGTGAGATGATCCTTATTTTGTTTTCTGAGGCTTATGTAAAGAATATTACAAAAACTAGTAAGGAGAGTGTACCAAAAAATGAATTTTTTTTTGGCTTTAGTTTCCCTTAGAAACAGTGGAAAAAAAAATCTAGCAGCATGTAAAACAGGTAACATGACTTAAGTTTTGGCTTATTTTAGATATGCAAGATTTAATTAACATTAGAAATGTATCCAAATGGCTGGACATGTGAGGCAGGAGGAACCTGATTTCAAAACCCACAGAAATTTAGGGAATCTCTGAGCAACTTGGCCACACTGTCTCTGAATAAAAAGGGCTGGGGATGTGGCTCAATGGTTAAGTGAGTTCAATCCCCAGGACCAAAAAAGGAAGTATACAAAATGTTTACACCTTAATAGAATTTTAACTTAMTGTACATTTAGGATAGTGAAAGTCTTAGTTAAATTTGAAAATGCTAGGTATTATGTATTATATCATGAGCATTAAAATTCAATTTTGAGTAGAATACTGTGGGTCATAATTCATGACACAACTAAATTTGATCAGTGTGTGTCAGATGGTCTCAGAGGTGGCAAAATATGAGTTAGGTCTTGATGGGTAATATTTTGTCAGAAAGTTGAAGCCAATGTGTTAAGTAGAGAAAGTAAGGTATGCTAAACCATAGCTGTGGCATATGGGAGCGGTTAATTGAAATAAAAATAGAGTACAGTAAGGATGTTCTGAAATGGCAAGAAGATGAGACTGGAGATTTGTGCCACTTATGGAGACTTTGCCTTGCTTCTTGTTCAAGTTGGAACTTGCCAACCCTGTGAGAGTTAGAAAACCGGTCAAAATTTTTGAGCATTGTACCTGTTTTTAATTATTTATATTTAATGTATTGTCTTTAGAAATAACATGTGTAACTCTTTTGCATGCTTTTGTGTATTTATCTTACTTGAAGTTAAATGCTTTTACTGATAACTTAATTTTTTGTTTGCTATGTGGGGATCAGGATTTATTATTGGGCCACTTAATATAATTGCTAATTATATAATATATAATATTATATTACCACTTAATATAATTGTTAATTTCTTCTGTGTTGTGTCCCTAATTTTTAAAACCACTTATGGCTGATATCTTTCACCAAGCTGTTGCCTAAGAACTTTCCAATGAAGTATGTGATAGAGGCCTCATTAATTATATTATTTATATCCCATTCTTTTTTCTTTTTTACTTTCTCTTTTGCAATTATATGTAATAAAGGCATATTTTAATACATGTCTTTTAAATTAGAATTTTTTGGTTGAGTCCCATCCCCTGTCCCCCAAAGAAAAGTCTTTGGAATAAGCTTTCATTAATTGTAATTGCCAGGGCTTCTTTTTATTTTTCCTTTAATTATTGTATTGGTAGATAGAAGGCATATTACTCTAAATTTATGAGAGAATTTTGAACTTAAATTAACTTTATAAATGTATTCGTTCTTATACATTCCTTCTAACTCCCTAAAAATGTTTTAATTTTCTTCATTATATATTTTTTACTCAAGGTGTGACTGCACAGAAAAGTTACAGAACAAATTTGATTTTTTGCGCTCACAGCTGAATGACATTTCATCATTTAAGAATATATACAGATATGCCTTTGATTTTGCAAGGGTAGGTGTGCAGTTTTTCTTCCTTAAGTCATTGTAATTGTTTTTCATCTTAAGACCATACTTAAGAAAATTTTTTCACTTATTTTAGGATAAAGATCAGAGAAGCCTTGATATTGATACTGCTAAATCTATGTTAGCTCTTCTGCTTGGTAGGACATGGCCATTGTTTTCAGTATTTTACCAGTACCTGGAGGTATGCATTTTTAAAAAATTTTGATTAAATATTTAAAAAACAATCTGATTTTAAAATATTGAGGAACAAGTCACTTTTAAGTCCTGTACTTTTAAACATTATTCATTAGTATTGAAAAAATTCTGTTAAAATGTGTAAATTTCTATTGTCATTTTTAGACACAAGTTCATGTGATTTGATATATCCTTTACATAAGAATTTGGGGAATTAGGGGTATAGTTTTGTGGTAGAATGCCTGTTTAGTGTGAATTAGACCCTGGGTTCAGTCACTAGCACTAAGTGAGACCTCCAAAAAATTTATTTAACATAGATATTTTTCATGCAAAATTAGTTTCTTGTGTCTTAGAAAGAATCAATGCTAGTAAACAAACCTCAAGCAACTTGTCTCATACTGAAATATATTTAAGTACCAGTTCTTATAATAAAGCTTCCCTTTTGCATTTAGATTGACTATGAAGAAATAAAACTAATATTTTATGTCCACAAGTATGAGAATGACTTTAATAGCATGCTTGACTTTACTGATTACTAAAAAAAAGAAAAAAGTATACTGAATTTATGAAGCAAATATTCTTGGAGAGGGGTATCATTGTTCTTACTAGCACAGTGGTTCTAAAACGATACTATTCTTTTTTACATTGTTTTATCTAGTTTCATATCTGTTTTCATTGACTTCTTTTCTCTTTTTTTGCATTGGGATTAAATACAGAACCTTACATATGCTAGGCAGGTGCTCTGCCACTGATCGTCATCCTTAGCCCTTTATTTATTTATTTATTTGAGAAAGGTTCTCATTAAATTACCTAAGTTGACCTTAAACTTTGATCCTCCTGCTTCAGCCTTCTGAGTAGCTGGGATTACAAGGATGTACCACCACATCCAGCTTATGCCTTTTAATTTTTTCTTGGTATAGTTCTTGCCATTTTTTGAATAAATAAGTTTTTCCTTTGGAAATAATTTCTCATAAAGCTGATAACACAGCAAGTTGTCCAGAGTAGTTTTACTTAAAACTTTTAATAAAGGACAGTGGCATTTATATGAAAGAATTTTTTGCACAATAAATTTTTAAGCCCAATAAAGTGAATATTTTTCACGAATAGTGCTTACCTTTCTCCTGTTTCTATTTTTAGGCAAAATTAAATTTAACTGAATATAAAGACATTCACCTCTGAGAAGCTAAGTTGAAAACTAAATATTTTCACACACTTGTTTATATGCAAACTATTTGACATATGTTTTCTTTTTAAATCATTATTACACCATTTTTAAGTTAAGTTTTCTCTCCATTTAGCAATCCAGGAAATGTATTCTATTTTTTTTTTTTTTTTTTGTACCAGGGATGAACCCAGGGATACTTAACCACTGAGCCTCATTCTTACTCCGCCTCCCACTTTTTTAAAATTTTGAGGTAGGGTCTTTCTAAGTTGCTTAGGACCTCACTAAGTTTTTGAGGTTGTATTTGAATTTGCAGTCCTCCTGCCTCAGTCTCCCAAGCCTCAGGGATTATACCATACCTGGCTATGGGTTCTAACGTAACTTTCTCAGGTCTTCAATTAAGTGACAGAAGTGGAATTTGAACCCACTACTTCTATTAGACACCAACCTCAAAATGTAGTTCATGCAAGAAATATACTTGGAAGGAACACAAGGAAACTTTCTAGAAATGGGAAATGTTCTATATCTCGATCTTGTTGTTAGTTACACAAGAACATACAGATAGAAAAATTGTGACTTTTAATTATTAGTATACTTGTACTTATTAATATTATTCAAAAATTAGAGAAAAAAACTAGTAGTCGTCAATATGTAAATGCTCTTGAGGATTCTCTAAGAACACAAATAGTTAATAGAGAAATAAATGTTTTAGGAAATGCCAAAGCACACAAAAAATTATAATATATTGACTGAAGTTAAATCCTGTTAAGTAATGTTTGTTCTGAAGTTCACAGTAATTTGTTCTGATTTCCACAGCAATCAAAGTATCGTGTTATGAACAAAGATCAGTGGTACAATGTATTAGAATTCAGCAGAACAGTTCATGCTGATCTTAGTAACTACGATGAAGACGGTGCTTGTAAGTATGGTGTATTTCTATGAAAATAAAATTCCTAAAAATATTATGCATTTGTGGAGCATTAACATAACAGTTTTAAACATCATAACAGTAACTTTTACTGTTTAGCCAGGTTATGAGGAAGGTCAAGAGCTTAGATTCAGTAATATTATAAAATTAATTCTGGTAAATGTTTCCATTCCTTAGTAACCACACATAATAGCTAAACTTAAATGATAATTTCTGCATTTAGAAGCCAAAATTCTGCTTTGTCTTTCCTGTAGAAAAACAAATCATGATTTTAAAAACAAGAACTATTCTAGTAAAAGCTTTAAAATTAATGATGGTACCTATTAATGATATGGCAGATAATATCAATAACTCACTATAGTTTCAACCTTTCAATTAAAATATTTGTACTCTTTTTAAGAGATAAAACTTTTTAATCTCAGAGTGCCCCTCCCAGTTTTCAATCCCCCCAACTCCCCTACATCAGAGCCGGAGAGTGAGGCTCCCTGCCCTCTACCTGTGGTGGACGAGGGCCCTTTAAGGCACCTGAGGGTGGGAGAAGAGGAGCAGAGGCTGGTTCCATCCTGGATGCAAGGACAGGCTTCGGTTGGCAGGTTTTTGTGGGATGGRATCAATGAGGTGGGGTGTCAGACACAGACACAGACACAGGATTGGGCCATCCTTAATGTGGTCAGGGTCACAACTGTTAGGACTAGGGGCAAAAACGACTCTTAAGTGGATAAAACAGATTTGGAGTAACGATATTTAGATGAGCCAAATTACTCTCTAGATATATTTTTAGTTTTTACTATTATTTTGGTCACACGTTGTTTTAATGTTCAGAGCAGTTAACCTGGAAAAGGAACTTTCCTTATAAACAAGAATTAAAATGATGCATTTAAACATTTACTTTGTGTTTATCTTTATACCATGTCCCCTTTTTAGAATAAAGCCTTTTATATGGCCCATCCCCCCTTCACAATCTTACAATACTTGGTAATGTAACAGAACTACTACCTTAATCACTTTTTACATTATGATTAAATGCCAGAATGCTATGGAAGAGGTTAATAGTGACTCAGTTATTAGAAGGTTCATGAAACACCTTGCAAAGAAAATTGCTATGAATACCCATTGTAGAAAGTCCCACCTTTTTTATTTTYATTTTTTTTTCGGGCAAAATGGAAAAGGCCAAGAAAATACCAATGTGTAAAAGAGGGAGATTGGAAACAAAACACTTAGAAGAAAGGATAGGTCAGACTATCATATGGACCATTTGTTATAAGCATATGGAGAATTTGTTATATAGTTGGAGAGAGGAGTTTATTGAATTCTAATGAGACTTGTTTCATTATTTCTAGGGCCCGTTCTTCTTGATGAATTTGTTGAGTGGCAAAAAGTTCGTCAAACATCATAGCAAGAACTATTGTGAAGAAAATGCAAACTTTTTGATTCCCACATGTATACAAACTAATGAAATGAGGGGGAAAAATCCAAAGGGTGCATTTTCATTCATATGAAAGACTTCTCATAGTACTTTTTTTTTTTTTTCCTTTTTTTTAAAGGAAGTTTCCTTGTTACATGTGAGCGGCATTGAGCCACACCTCTTCTGAGACTGAATATTGACATTTTTGTTTCAAGTTATGTTTTTAACATTTATTTCAGAACAATAAAGATTCAGATTTGTGACAAAGGCCTTAAAGTGAAGATGTCCCTTGAGTGTCAGAGTGGTATTTATTTTTGTAAGTTTGAATTCTTGATTTTTGAGGTTCAGAATTACCATGAATTTGTGAAATTTTAAAGATTTTAAGCAATCTTAATATCCTGCAATGTAGTCTGCTGATGGTATAGCTCATATTATTTATCTTTGCACAATTAGGAAGAATAATTATTGGCCTTGACTTATAATGATTTTCTGGTGCAGCTAGTAAAAAACATTTCTAGATTGGAAGTGCTCCAACTTTCAGCTGTGGGTATCTGTAAAAGCTATCAAGGTCTTATGTACGTATCTTATTTGAAAAGTTTGGAAAGATTATGTTAAGTTATTTTGTTTTTTGACCATGAGATATTTTTAATAAGCAGAAATAAGCCCTGCATGTGTATATTTAACATGAAATTTAAGTTTTGTGTATTTCTGTCAAAGAATTTCATTTACATTTGAAGTAGCAAGGTTGATATATTAATGGTCTCAAAATCAGACATTCTTTTAAGAGCATTAGGATCAATATTGAAGTTGTATTTTTATCATTAATACAAATGGCATATTTATGATATTTTTAATTATTATTTTATAATATAGAGAGTTTTGTTGAGAGCACTGTTATTTTCCTTAAGAAAACTTTAGCTTTGATTTTTGTGGACTTTGTTAAGATATATAAAAGAAAAGAAAATAGAATAATGGATCATGAGAGACCTCTGGCTGTAAGTGCAAACTTGGTGATGTCATTTAACATTGGTAGTATTACAGTTTTGCTGTTTGTCACAATTTTCTGACTATTGGCAATACAGTATCTTGAAGAAATAACAGCCTTATTCACATAAAAGTCACCTTTTGGTTAGCAGCAGGCATGTTTTATACATTCCTTTTCAAACCATCCAATATTCCAGTGATAAGAAAACTTGGTTCACATTCACAGTTCAGTCACAACCTCAGTAATATTCATAGTCTCATTGTATAAATGAAGAGAACTAAAGAGGTTATTTTTCCATAATAAGGAAATTTCTGTTGATTTAAAGTAAAGGTTGGTTGTTTTGATAGTGAATTTGTTTAATGAGTGATTTTCAGTATTAATTACCTAAGGGAAAAATAGCATTTTGAAACTTATTGTTTGCTTCTTGGTTAATGAACATAAAGTGATTGCCARTGTTTTACTTGCCTTCTTAACAAGATTATTTTGTACAGTTTTGTAAGACACTGATAAAATAGTGGAAAATAATTCTTTTCCTCAGTACCTTTAGATAAAGATTATTTTCTTTGAATATTCCTCTTAAGGGTTAGAATTAGCAAATTATTAGTAAGGAGCACATGAACATTTGTGATTTAGTATCATGAATGATGTTTTAATATCAAATTAATAATATAAGAAAAGGATTTACATTGTAGAATTTCTAATATAATTGACTCTTCTAAGGTACAAGTTAAAACAATTGAAGGATATTGTCCACTTTTGTTTAATTCAAAAGAATTTAAGTGAAATCTTGCAAGTTGTTACTTTATAACTTGAACTAATTGTAAAAACCTTTGTAATCTTTATTATTTGAGTGAAGTGAGTAACACTCAAAACTTATAGGGTGACTTTAAAAAAATTTTTACTTAGATTAACTATCCAAGGGTTCCTTTAATTTTTTTGGCAGAGGTTGGTTCTGAATATGAAAATTAAATTCACTTTTTTTCTGCCTAAAATTAGTGGTCCAGTCCCACAATGGTCATGTGCCTGTTTTACTTTCTTGCTCCATCTGTTTCTCTTACCTTTCTAAAGCCATATAACACTCACCTAATTCAGTGGCATATGCCTCTATAACCCCAGTAACTTGGGAGACTGAGACAGAAGGATCAAAAGTTCAAGGTCAGCCTCAGCAACTTATCTAGACCCTGTCTCAAAATTTAAGAGGGGGTGGACAGGGGCCTGGGAATGAAGAAGCTTGGTGGTTAAGTGCTCCAGAGTTTGATCTCCACTACCCCTCACCCTGTTTACCTACTTTGCYGGCAAATTTGCTTGGCCTTATTCATCAGGGCATGGGCTGTGTTCCTTCTCTCCTTTCTTAATTTATATTTGAACAACTTTCAGTTTATTGGGAAACTTATAATCAAGATGCTAAGTGGTTAAGATATTAACTGGTCAAGATGTTTAGCAAAGTGGACAGTATTAAGGAACTTGCAGTATGAAGAAGTCTCCTAAGTGTTGTGGCTCTTTTTTTTTAAACTAAAGTGCCTTCCCAGGAATCCTTTTGTAAARTCTTCTAATTTATTTTCTTCGAATGGAATGAAATACTCGATGGTGCTTTATAACATGGAGTTGACTTGCTGCTTATAAAATAGTTTACAAATGTAATACTACTGGAAGAAAGTAGAGCCAGGTGTTGATTCTTTGTGGGAGGTTGGAGTGTTGCCTTCCACAAATCCATGGGGTCAATAATTTTTAATAAGGTATGGTCATTTAGAAAAAAATTGACCAGGGATTCGGGTAACATAGTATGATAAAAATGTGTATTACATGCTGATCTGGATCTGTTACCCTGTTTTTCTCTTACTATCTAATGATTTCTTGTTTTTAAAATGATAAAATTCTCGACAATACATTTTTAATGGTTATATTTTTATGTGTAATGTGAGACCTCCCATGGGATTATTAAATYGACCCTCAGGATTGTATATCCCTTAAGTACAAATGCCTTTTTATCTAGCAAACCAAAAGTGTATCTTAACAATATTGAATGCCATCACTTTTCAGTGTGAAGGGGATGAGGGTGAGAGTAGAATTTTGACATAACTAGAGTTTTTAAGGCATGCACAATTATGTGGAGTGGTCACATTCTAGACAAATGAAATACATTGCTAATAAAACAAATTTTGAATTGTATCTTAAGCAAAATGTCTTTTCTGCCTAGTCATTAATGGGAAATTATGAAAGGACTTACTGAAATGTATTATGTGCTTAGTTTTTGAGGAGCAGTTAGTAAGAATGCTGACGTCATTTGTTTTACTGCCTTYTTGATGAAGTATTCCCGATACTACTGTGACAATTCATAAAGGGATAATACTTTGTTCTGGCYTTTAAGCCTGAAGTTTTTAGCACATCTCTCACATGCTTCCCAAATGTCTAAAGCAGCAAATAATTTGAGGGCATTTAATGCATGTAATTTAAATACATATTTTTGTTAAAAAGAGAAAAATTAGAAAGCTAAAGAATTTTTTCTTTTTCCTAGAGAGAAATTCTTCCTTAAGGAAATATATCACTTCTTGAGTGATACTGGAAAACATCACAAGGAAACATTTCAAAGAAGGAAGCATTTTCTCTTCAAGAGAAATGAAAAATAGGAAAATTGTAAATTTCCTCAGAAGGAAAGACTAGTGTGAATTATTAAATATTCTGGATCATATAAATTTTAATGACTTTAATTTTATTACTTTCATGAATATTTAGCAATAACGAGACAAAAATATTACAATTCAGTCTTTTTTGTTAATAGACCTAGTTACCTATGATTATACTGTTAAAGCCCAGAAAACATTATTATAACTTTTATGATAAACTTTATAGATTGTGGAAATGAATTGCTGCCATAAACCTTGGATAAATGGAATGATATTGTAGATATTTTTCTAGTGAATTTTTACTTCACTGGAATAAATTTAAAAAAATATTTATGTATCTTTAGTTTTTTAGGTGGATACATTAGTTTGTTTTTATGTGGTGCCGAGGATCGAACCCAGTGCTAGGCGAGCATTCTACCACTGAGCCACCACCCCAACCCCTGGAATAAATCTTTTGATGTTTAATTTATTTGCCTTTTCTTAAACACCAATTTTAATAAAACTGATGAGGCATTTACTGTATCCACCTCACAATCTTCTCTATTCTATGAGTACAGATAGTGTTTCCCTAATTCCTTTCCCTGATCAGTTGTTACTTAATGTGACCCTTTTCTTTTTAAGACGGATACTTTATTTAGAATCCTTTATAATATACTTTGTTTTTATATCAGTTCTTACAAGTTACAGCAAAACAATTTTATTAAAATTGTTTTAGCCTTCCTCAAAATTATATCATTTGAGGAGATATTGTCCTGCTATTTGGCTTTTCAGGTCTACAGTATTGATGACTTTTCATACTTCATGGTTGGTTTAAATTAAAATTGTGGACTTTTAAAAGCTTGAAAATATATAAAATGCATATGTATAAAGCAAGATTTCCCTAAAACTCTATAGGGTTGTATGTGTGTGTAGAATTAGTAGTTATAGTTTATTTTTCCTGTAGAAATAAATCATAGTTAAAAGCCATGAAGGTTAAAAATTTTGCTTTTATATGACTGCTATTGAATTTGTGAAAGAAAAAGACAATACTTTATTTGAACAACTTGTCACTAGAGACTTTATTTTGACTTTATCAAATTTAGCAAATCAATTTTTTTTTAGTTTTAAATGAGGTTTACATATTTTACCTCTACTATCATGCAAATGAAATGACTTAAAGCAGGTTTAGGCACAGTTAATTTTGACTTCTTATCTATTTTGGATTTGTATTATTCTTTGAAATTACTTGGAATTTTGAGAGTTTATAGAAGTGAAATCTGAGAACCTGAGTTTGGTTTCTTCTTTGCCACATCTCTGTTACTTTTAGATAGTCACTTGACTCTTGTCATCTTTAGTTTTTTTCTGTAAAACAGCAATAATTCTACTAGTATTGTCAGGAAGTACAAATGGAGCCCTAAATATTAAAAGAGTTCACTTTGGTGTTTGAACAAAAAGTGATTAATTAAAATAGTTCACTCTGCCCCCAACAGATTACACCATCCTACATGGAAAAATAGCTGGAGTTTACTATTTTGTTCTACCATTTTTAAAAAATAATCAAACACATTTATTTATGTTTCAGACCAAATCTTTAATTCAGCAAATTCTAACTACACCAGGAAGTATTCTAGCTCTAGTATATCACAGGGCATAGAATAGAGAGGTCTTTGGCATTTATGTGATTTTCATTTGAATTGGTTTATATTGTTTATCAAATGGTGACAAAATTATTTGGGGGAAAATAAGTCAAGGAAGGCATTACAGAGTGTGAGTATAAGGTTGCTATTTTAAATAAACTGTATTCTAATTTATGAGACATTTGACCTGGAATACAGGAGCAATTGAACAATATGGTTGGTTATCTGGGAGCACAGTGTTCTGGGCAGAGGAATCGTGCTAAGGCCGTGAGCAGGTAACAGTTTCCTAGGTGTCTTTGGGAAGCTATAAGATCAGAGTAAATGTAGTAAGCTAAAAGAGTATTAGCAATAGAAAGTGAGGTTACAGACATAGGGAATAATAAAGACTTACTGAGTGAAGTAGGAAACAATTAGGGTTCTGATCAAAGCAAGGATATGGGGGTGAATAAAATTTGGAGAATAATACATTGGAATATTGAAAGTGGCCATTTAAGGGGCTGGGGATGTGGCTCAAGCGGTAGCACGCTCGCCTGGTATGCGTGCGACCCGGGTTCGATCCTCAGCACCACATACCAACAAAGATGTTGTGTCCACCGAGAACTAAAAAATAAACATTAAAAAAAAATTCTAAAAAAAAAAAAGAAAGTGGCCATTTAAGAGTAAAAGATTCAGGATCATGTTTGAGGTAGGAAGACTGAGGATTTAGTTTGGGATTTGTAACAGTAGATGTGCCTGTAAGACGTCCAGAGGGAAATGTAGAGTAGTGGGCAGTTGGATATTTGAATTTGGAGTTCAAAGATAAAGTCTGGGCTGGAGATAGGTAATTTGGAAGTCAACAGTCTGTATATATCATGACATGGATGAAATCACATAGAGAATAAATGTAGCTAGAGAATAGAACTGAATTGAAAACATAGTTAATGAACTTTTAGGACCACCTTTTGTGATTTTAAAAGTAGAAATGTAACATTTTCTACCACATACACCAACCATTATTACTTCCTGTAATATAGAAACATTTTAAAACCAAGATTGATAACATACATTTATGTATAAACAAATGGCAAAATGAAGACATTCCTTAATTCCTAAAATGAGGCTTTTTGTTGTGAATGGTACAGTCTTATATTTTAAGAATATATTTCTATGGTGGTCAGAAATTGCTGTTATGATTCAGTTTGATAGTTTTAGCACTAGAGGGCAGGATTGCTTCTAGATTGTGAAGAGTGAATTTGTCCAAACATAATCCCTACATTCATTCTCAGTGAATGCACTTGCTTCTCAAGTGACATATTTACCATCTACTGTGTTTTATTTCTGTTGCTGGGAAAGTAGAAAGTAAAGGTAAGCTTGACTTTTAGTCTGTCTAGGACTGTGATTGATAGTAACACATTTGCATATGAAGTCCAAGGAAATTCAAGGTAGTTTCCCCCTTCAATAATGGTAATCTGGACCCAGTTATTATTGGTACTCTGAAGTACTCATCACTGTGCCTAGTTTTTAGGTTAGTTCATAGTGTTTGAATAAATTAAAAAAAATTAATTTTAAAAAGTGGGATCAGGAAGTTGGGAGCCTTTACAGAGTCCGATTTTATTTGGGTTTTTTTCCCCCTCATGGCTGAGGATCAAGCCCAGGGCCTTGCACATGCTATGTAAGCACTCTGCCACTGAGCTATTTGTCTTATCCCCTACCACCACTTTTTCACATTTTCACAGGTTTTCCTATTAAGATGGAGATGATTCCACTCTGTCTTTACTCCCATGCCTTTTTCTGATAGTTTAGCTACAAGAACAGTTTGTAGCCATAGAGAATAGAAAGTCTTTTTATAGTCACCAGAGTGAAGAGAAATGATAGGTGTGGAAGGTGGGCAGTTCCTTCTGTCTGGCTTGTATCAGATTGAGACGTTAGAGATTGAGATGGAACCTTCCTATATTCTACCCTGAAAATTTTCCCACACATGGGCCTTAAAAGTTTGTCTGGTCTTTTCAGTTTCCCTACTTTAATTTTCTTGCCTATAAAATGAGAATAATAGTCCTTACCTAATTGTATTGTTTTGAGGATGAAATGAAACAATACCTGCAGTAAATATTAACTACATTGTTCTTTGAAAAAACAAARCTAAATCATTGGTCTTTGTAAATTGAATTTGTGTTCAAATATTATATAGTAGAGCAACTAAGTGGAAAACTGTTAATCCACTAATATACACTTAGAAATACAAAACGGTTATTGATGTAAACTAATCTGTATTATATACTTGTTAACTTGGGCACTGTAATGAAGTGATTGTTCTGAAGAATATTAAATATGACTAAATGAGGTGATAAATTTACAGTGCTTGGTACCAAGTAACAAGCATTCAGTAACATGAACTGCTATAGCTATTTTTAAACAGTGGATCAAAAAAAAGTGGATCAATTTGATTTCATAGAGAGGGCTCTTATTAAAAAATATTTTTATTGTTGATGAAATTTTTAATTTTATTTATTTATTTGTATGTGGTGCTGAGAATCAAACCCAGTGCCTTGCACATGGTAGGCAAGCCACAATCCCAGCCCGCTGGAGGGCTGTTTTTTAACAAAATAAATAAGCTTATAAAACAAAAATACTATATAGTCTTATTACTTTGTTTGATTTCCTTATTACTTTGATTGTGGAGTAGCAAGACCTTTTCCCAAAAGAAGTTTTACCTAGAAGTAAAATATTTAAAACAGTTAAAATAAGAATCTCTACATCCTCCCCACTTAAAGGAACTACTGGCTCTCCATTTTTTAGGTAGTGGTGGTACCGGGAATTGAACTCGGGATCATTCTACCACTGAGCCACATCCCCAGCCCTATTTTGTATTTTAATTAGAGACAGAGTCTCAATTGCTGAGYGCCTCACTTTTGCAGAGGCTGGCTTTGCATTCACTTTCCTCCTGTCTCAGCCTCCCTAGCCGCTGGGATTACAGGCGTGATCCACCCACACTCGGCTCCAACAGCATATTTTGAAAACCACTGTTTGCACATTTGTACTTTGACGTGTCAAATGTGAGCAAAGTAATAGTGGGAAAACTGGATTTAGGAATTTCTACTTCATTTTCTAAAAAGCCAAAAAGTAGCTGGCATTGTTTTAATGTAGAATAAGATAAAAAAAATGCATAAAATCTTTTTTAAAAAATAGCTTCCTGAAGGAATGATGATTCATTTGCTTTACTGTCTTCCACTTTGCTTAACAAGTAAGTCATTTTCCCCCCATAACCAGTTTGTTATAAATATGGTCATAAGATGGTTACATTGACTAGTCTGATCTTACAGAATAAATGAAAAAAATTGACAGACCACTAGTTGAGTAAGGGAAAATATGACCCTTCTTGCACTTAGAATGTATGAATTGAAGAAAATCAGTGTAGTCTTTAACTCTCTGATGTAAGATTTAATTTATTGGAACTTCTCCTTAGTCCAGATTGCAGCACCTTTCTATGTTTCTTGTATATTCTGCATCTACTGTCTCTGTAATAATTGAGGGCTCTCCTCCCAATTCTGGGCTTGGTTATCCTTAAAGAAACATCCTTTCCTTTCTTCATTCTTTGAGTCACTACTAATCTTGTATATACTTTTTTGAGTGTCCATAACACTGTATTGTAAGAGCATATTCACATATGTTTTCTTAACTAAGCTGTGAGCTCCTAGAGAGCAGGGACTGTATGTTTTAGCTTTATCCTCCAATGCCCAGAACTATCTACAGTATAGGAAAAGCATTCATAAA